AGATTTAAAATTGTCCGTGTATGGCCTCTTTTGTTGGAATTGTTGCTATATTTGTTTACATGTTGTTACACTTCAGTCAAGGGGAATCGAGACAGGGTTTAAGGTTAATAATATGCGGAGGAAATGAATTATAACATCTGACGAACATGGACTGAAAATAATTAAAATGTTATATTTAAGTGTCCAATTGTTGTTTTCAATGTCCAATGTTTTGGAATACAATTCTTTTTATTTTTGTTACAGTTCCAAGTATTTGTTTGCCTGAGAGCAAAATTTTAATCACTATTTAACAAGTTTGGTAGAAATGTGGCTGAATTGCGTGTATCCAGACACCCACTATAAGAGCTATTTTGCTACCAAGCATAATGTTAGCCTGGGAATATATCTGTCTCTTGTTTCTCCGTGTCTCTAAGGAAGTTTCAAAGAAGAGACATATTTGCCTCAATGACAAAAATTCTATACTGATGATGAAATATCTGTCCAGAATCTGGTCAGGAATATAGTAGCTATATTTTGTTTAGCTATTGTTTATAAATAACAGACCGAAGACAAAAGGTCACAAAGATCAAATGTAATGGCAATGAATTTATTTTTATGACAAAACAGTCATTAGTCGTTTCTTTAGAATAATTGAGTGGAATAAATTTTTGTAAAAATTTTGCTGCAGCTCATTAGTAGAAGCACTCAAAACTTTACTAAAGTAGACCAGGGGTCAATGTAATAAAACTTTTACATGTGTAATTTACAAGTGTAGCTATTGTTCTCAGGCTCTAAAACAATGGCTACACTTGTAAATTGCACTTTTAACAGTTTTATTAAATTGACGCCAGGAGAAACATAAACTCAAACAAATTTACATTTGGAAATGAATGTCTATCATCATCAGTATCATTAATGGGCAGACATCTTTCCCCCAAAACGTCCCTAGCCACAGGGGAGAGACAGGTGTATTTGTGGGCAAGCATAATGCTTAGAATTGGAAAAAGGGATTTTACTGTTTTTGAGAATTGGAGACTGGACTCTTGTCTTTTTTGAGGGTTGTTGGAGGTTAGGGGTGGGGGGGGAAATAAAATTTGAAGGGGCATCTCAGCTATTTATTGGGCAGGCACCAAAACAAGAGTGTGTAAGCTCTTGTTCATGCCATTATATGTCTTTTAATTTAACCAACAGCCCTAGCCAGGTATTGGCACTTTATTATAACCTACATTTAAACAAGAACTGATGCTCGACCAATTATGAACTAATTCACATTTAAAACATACACCAGAACTTCTCCCTGGGTCTTGTTACTGAGGGTTATTTCATGTGCAATGCGTCTTCTTTAATAAAAGATACATGCAGTGTGCAAATATGAAGTTTTATAATCCAAGCTGTTCTTTTTATTTTTATTGTCATAGAATCCTCAGTCCTATTAATCTAAACAAAGATTCAGACAAGATTTCCATTGAAGTCAGTAAATTAAAGAATAATTTAAGATTTCTTGATGGAGGGTGAGGAAAACAAAGAGAAGATTCCTCTTAAAGAAAGGAAGATTAATGATGGCCAGTCATCCAATGCATCAGTAAATGGTGATAATGCAGAAGATGAATGCCAAAGTTCCTTGTTCTCAAAGCGTTACATCATATCCATTTTGGCATTACTAGGATTCTGCAATGTTTATGCTTTACGGGTCAACCTCAGTGTGGCTTTGGTGGCAATGGTAACTAATAGTACAGTTTCAAATTCAGAGGGCAAAAATGATGAGGTTTGTAACTCCTTTTTATTTTCTGTAAGACAGTTAAAAATAATAATCAGATAGGATCCTGTGCAATCCCATCAGGATCTTGTAAGAGATGCTGTTAGGATCCTGTACAATCCTATCAGGATCTTGTAAGAGATATTGTTAGGATCCTGTGTAATCCTATCAGGATCCTGTAAGAGATACTGTTAGGATCCTGTATAATCCTATCAGGATCTTGTAAGAGATACTGTTAGGATCCTGTGTAATCCTATCAGAATCCTGTAAGAGATATTGTTAGGATCCTGTACAATCCTATCAGGATCTTGTAAGAGATACTGTTAGGATCCTGTACATTCCTATCAGGATTCTGCAGGAGACACTGTTGGGATCTTGTATAATCCTAGCAGGATTCTGTAAGAGATACTGTTTAAGTCCCGGGGTACTTCCTTCGAATTTTGGATAGGGGTGTGCCGCGAACTTGAAGGTTCGTTAACCCTAGCCCTATTTAAGGACTAAGAAAGCAAAAACTGATACCCTTTTTAAGGCCGAAAGCCGAAAAATGACACCCTATTCAAGGAAAAAACAAAATTATTAATAGCATGAAAAGGAAAACTTTATTTCTTCTCTGTAACATTGGATGTATAAAAATGTTCGTTTAGGCGGGCGTTTTCACACTCCAGTATTAGATAATGCAGTTAAGACAATTAAGCTACCCTATCTAAGGACCACACCAGGGACACACAAACAAAAGGGTCAAAAAAGATACCCTATTTAAGGACCAAGAACCTCAAAAACCATACCCTATTCCACGGCATGTACCTATATAGCCCATATGTCGTATCCTGTACAATCCTATCAGGATTCTGTAATAGACACTGTTAGGATCCTGTGTAATCCTATCAAGATTCTGCAAGAGATATTGTTAGGATCCTGTATAATCCTATCAAGATTCTGTAAGAGATACTGTTAGGATGCTGTACAATTTTATCAGGATCTTGTAAGAGATATTGTTATTGTTATTGTTAGGAGATATTTTTGTTGGTTTTTTTTTTTTTTTACTGACCTACATGATCATGTTCAATCCTATCAGGATCTTGTAAGAGATACTGTTATGATCCTGTGTAATCCTATCAGGATCCTGTAAGAGATACTGTTAGGATTCTGTACAATCATATCAGGATCCTGTAAGAGATACTGTTAGGATTAAACTGCCGCAAAAATTTAGTGCTACACGATTTGTTATTTATGCAAAAAATGTATTCTAAGGGTGCTTTCCATTTGTCAGAACTGGCGGCCGGACCATTGCCCGACCAGTCAGTTTGATAACGAAATAGGTTTATTTCCAAGAGTTTTTGCGAAAAAGCATCACCTTCTTGCATACTATTCAGGATTTGACTGATCTGGCTGGAGAGTTCTCATTAAAAGGAATATTATCATTGCGACGGGAATGGTCTGGCCGGTCAGTTCTGACAAAAGGAAAGCGCCCTAAGATTTGCCTTCAAGATCTTATATATGCAATTAATTCTAATGGGAAAATTGGGTCAATTTGTCAAGATGTTAGGTTATATTAAATAATTTGATTCCGATTTGTTTGTAGAAGCCGGCAGAATTTAACTGGAGCACTGAAACTCAAGGTGAACTTAAATATTTTAATTGATTTTAGTTGATTTTAGTGGGCTGTGTATGGTCTCACTTTGTAAGGCCAGTTCAAGGGTGACAGTTGTGCAATAGGCCTAATATTCATGATACCCACCGTCTTTCCACACCCTGATACTGAAGACTGATCAGAGTTGTCCTCCGAGTTGTCTTGTTGTTGTTTTTGCTATGTTTTTAGCCATTATTTCGCCTAGTTCCAGCTGTAGTTCTTACTCTTGAAATGAGTGAAGTGTCCGTCATTTTAGTTTTTACAACAAAAACAACTCAATCTGGTCCCCAGGTTTTCTTGGTTAACGGTGCATTAACCTGTAGAAGGCTGCATTTTTGATGTCATTTCCTTGTTAAACACAAAACTCTTCCAAATTTGGTCATCAGTAACTGGTTATGGTGAATTATGCTTGTGCTTTTAGCCAATCAGAATTGGGGAAATATTTTGAATGAATAGTAATATTAATTTACCTTTGTCTGTGTGCACAATATGTAAATGCTTTTTTTTTTTTTTTTTTTTGGGGGGGGGGGGGGAGTCTCTTCCTACTTAAAGATAATGGGATGTATTGTTTTGTTTACAGGGACACGGGGCCATAACTGGAAGGGCTAAGTAGGAGAGTTTATAAGCAGCGGTTTAAAGCACCTGCTGGCCACCTTATAATGTAGCTGTCTATCAGTGCAGCAAAGTAGCTTAAATACATGATGATTCTTTGTCTTACAGGTGTCGTTTTAAGTTCGTTCTTTTACGGCTACATCATAACCCAGCTTCCAGGCGGTATATTAGCTCTCAAGTTTGGTGGTAAAAATTTGTTTGGTCTCGGCATTCTGTCTACTGCTGTTTTGACACTTCTCACACCAGTTGCTGCACGAGCTAGTGTTGGATTGCTGGTGACATTGAGAATTCTCATTGGCTTATGTGAGGTAAGTATTCAAGGTGGCTGAGCAACTTTTTCTAGTATGTTCTGAGAGTACTTCTGCACTTTCAAGTGATGGATCAATACTACTGTAGTTTTTTTTTTTTCGGCTCATCTCTGGTGTAATATAATTCATTACTCACAGCCAGTGTAAAACAAAGAAAACAAAACATCCTTAACAATGAACCTAACCCTGACAATAGTCCATAAAACGAAGAAAACGAATAAATTATACAGTAAAAACCCGCAACTAAGAACCTACATTTTTAGGAGTTAGCCTAAACAGGTTCTTATATAAATGGTATTTAACAGAATTTTAGGCTATTTAGGTTCTTAAAATGGGTTCTCAATCCTGGAGAAAAAACAATTAAAACACAGCTGCAAACAAGTTGGTCATTAGCCTATACTTTTATTTTCTTCAGCCCCACCCAACCCCCAACCCCCTCCCCAAAAAAATATCAATGTATACAATTACATGTATATATATGCTTTGCCAAGCTGTACAAAGCTTTAACTGTAACAATAATATTCAGGATAATATTCAGAACAGGGCCCAAAATCATTTTTACAACAATGGCAATCTGCTTTTTTTGCTTCAAATATGATTCTTGCAATGCAGCTGTAATGTTCTAGTATGATTTTAGAAAATAAGAACCTGTTTTAAATTTCTTAAGCTAGGTAGGTTCTTGTTTATAGGGGGTATAAATGACCAATTTTAGGTTAACAGGTTCTTAATTTTTAGGTTCTTAGTTGCGGGTTTTTACTGTATTACATGGGGATGACCCGTTTTTTCAACTTGTTAACCGTTTGGTTAACATTAGTTATTGTCATTTATAGTGACTCTGTAATCTGTTCAAAACACCCTTAATTTTCTCTTTCAGTACTTATACATGTAGCTCAAAGGCAAGTTCAGTGAAGCCCATTTATTATTAGCAAAATTGAAATAAGCATGTTAAGATCTAATCTTTCATGAAGTCTAAACAAATCTGCAAGGTGGTTCAGAGCCACTTTAAATTTTTAAGAAAGTAAGGACTGGTGATTCAGAACCTTGCATTTCAGAGGACTATGTATAAAACCTTGTACATCCACTGCACATGCAAACTCTGGTTTTACTTTTACACGCTTTCACAAGTAGAAATTATAAAGCGTTAGAGGTGAAGAAGTAAATTAAAAGGAGTTCATTTCTCATGATTCACAAGAAGCAATTACAGTAAGACTGAGCTATTACATAGGGTGCAAACATGTCTTTACAATTATGGTCCTGTGTTCTTTTTGTTAAACAGGGTGTTGTTTTTCCTGCAAATCATGCAGTATGGACAAAGTGGGCACCTCCTCTGGAGAGAACCAAACTCACTACAATCTCTGCATCAGGTTTGAGCACAAAATAATCTTTCTCTGCGCAAGGACATAATTATTTTACCTTTGAAAGTAGACTAGACATCTGGTAGAGAATAGTTCCTTCTACCATTACTTTGTGGTTTTATAGCTTGTGAACAGGCACCAGGTGTACTGCGAAAGAAATGTGCATTACTGGGGTGTGAAGTGAAGGATGTGGAAGCTGGTGCATCTAACTTTCCTTTCATTCCCCACCCGTTTTTTCCCTTCCCTTGTGTTTATCCATGTACACATTGTAGGCACCTTTTCTTCACCTCATAGCTCACTAAAGAGCCTGTTTACAGGCTACATTGTTTCATCGCACGTAACGATGCTCGATAGTGAGTGCGCACGCGCGCGAGAAAAAACGATTGGTAACCAGGGTATATTCACATGGAACAGTTTCTATTCATATTGAACTGATGAACTATGTTGATTATTAACTGTCATCAGTGGTTTCATTATTATACACAGAGGGCAGTGTGATACTTAGGGTTGCAATAAAAGTTTTTCCTGCTTAGAGAGGAAGGAGAAAGAACCTTTTAAACCTTTTAAAACCTTTTAAAAATATCTCAACAGGAGCTCATATTGGCACCGTGATTGCCATGCCGTTGTCAGGTGTCTTAGCAGAACGTCTTGGATGGCCATCCGTCTTTTATGTATTTGGTAAGTTATAGAATACCAAAGTGTAGCCTTCGTAACAGGCATTTTTAAAATAAGTGAGAAGTCAAGAGATATGGTAATTGTAATTTGTTGTAACAAGAGACCTTTAGATTCTAGGACAGAGCGACTACGAGTAGGTGATTTGACTCGTGAAGTTTTTTTCGCGTATTCTCAAGTTATAGACACCAAAAAATTAGCACTGTTATCTTAACTAAAGGAGCTTAAGCCATCTCCCGACCGCAAAATAATACAACCTCTAACTTGTTTCTCTTTTCACGACATTCTTGCTAAAACTCGTGGTAGAATGACGACGGCAATCATGTTTTCCCGCCAAAATGACGCTGGTTCACGCGTACTGGTCTCAGAATCTAAAGGTTTCTAAAAGGACAGAGAGGGAATCTAAGGGCGTTGGCCGGGGTCTCTTGTTGTAATTGTAATTTGTTTACCCACAAAGCACGGAGGAGATCTTAACAACTCGATTAAATGTGTTTGTGCATTCCAGATCGAATGGAATTTGGAAATGTTGCTTTTTGAACTGGAATACCCGGCGAAAACCACTCTCAAAATGGACCCCATTTTGAGAAGAAGGCATGATATAAAAACTCTTAATTTCTTGAACCCACAGGCTCCGCAGGCGTGGTGTGGGCGTTTTTCTGGTTTTTGATCGTTAGAAATTCGCCATCTGAAGATCCAAACCTCTCCGAGGAGGAAAGAAATTACATTCAAGCTGCTCTTGCAAAGGATGTCCAAAAGCAGGTATATGAGATTCTTTTGTAATCATGCTAGGTTTTGTCTTTTTATTCCACATATGTTACTCATTGAATCGACTCCAAGATTTTCACTGAAAGAAGTGCCATTTTGAGCCCTGAAGTTAAGTTCTGATAGACTGTAGCCAGCGAGCAAGCTCCTCATTTGCGCAGGCAAAGCCAGCCGCGCAAGAACGCGTGCTGCTCGCGTGTGCGTGACTTTTCATGATGTCCCCCAAATGGAGAGCTTGAACGTAGGAAAGATAGACTACGACCAGTTCCTCATTTTCCGTAGGGATAGTAGAGCAAACGAAATATGCAAGCTCGAGTAGACGCCAGACGCGGAGGAAGAAAAGACATGGGAGTTTTTTCTCTCCTCCCTCTGCGTGCGACCTTCCGCGTGACCGGTCACGATTTTCACGCGCGCTGGGGTAAAATTTTCAGTTCGCTCTTTCTACTATCCCTTGTGAAAATGAGACAAACTCAGGCCTTGAAACCTTGAAAACTAGTATTACTTTGAACTCCGTTCTCGAGAAGGGGTTACTGAACAAAGTTTTTACAAGGAGGCTCCGCCCTGGGCACCAACGTCCTCCCTTTCGTAAACCTTCCATTAAAAAATGGTATCCGTTTCCCGTATTTATTTTTAAAAACAACAACAACAACGATACTTCCTCCATCCTTTTTATTATGGTTTCCCTGTAACGGGAGAACGTGATAAATTAATAAGTAGGTGAAACAATTTGACTTAAAATAAACGACTGTTTAATTGTTAAGCTGTGACAATAGACGGATCGAGACGCACCAATGACATTACGAGTCTTCTTAGCCAATGACATCAGGGCTTACCTGACGGACGACCAATAACATCGCGACTGAATTGACCAATCAGGTCAATAACCAGAGTATAATACCATAACTGACGTGATACAACTCACTTTGACGCTAAAGTTGAATACCGCACAGGTAGTCGAAACGTCAGTCACTGTCACAAACAGTTCTCAGGGGCGGATCCAGGATTTTTTTTGGGAGGGGGTGCACTCGTCTCTTGCTCTACTTCAACACCAATAAACCACATAGTTTTTTTGCAGAATACCAGTTGTATTAGAAAACCGCAGGTAATCTCAGGGGAGGGTGCACACCCCCTGCACCCTCCCCCTAGATCCGCCCCTGGTTCTACACTCACGCGGACGATCCTGTTTTACACTTATGAAATGACTACTGGGTTCAAACCTTTCACAATGATAAATAAATCGATACAACCATAAGGTGCCTCTTATCGAAATATTTCCATTTAAGGTGTTTCAAAAGGCCAAACAGCAGCTTTTTTCCACCCCTTTAATTTTTTTACACCTGAAGTTAGAAAATTGCGCTCCTCCCGGATGGGAGCTCCCCGTATTGACCGTTATATGATGGATAACAGAGACCTGAATTGGTATGTTTATATCTCCTTGACTAGGAGGACCTTAAGATACCATGGAAAAACATTTTCACCTCGCTACCCGTCCTCGCCATTGTTGTTGCTCATTTTAGTGAGAACTGGGGATTCTACACGCTGCTGACAGAGTTGCCAAGTTTTTTAAAAAACAGTCTTCATTTCGACCTAAGCAAGGTATGCCCAATTCTGGTGCTTTATGCTGTCAGCACTTTGCTTATAATGTAACGATGCTGTCTCGTTAAACATGTTCAATAGTAAGCGCTTCAAAAATTATACATCATTATTCTTATTGCAAATTAGACGTCAGCTGCTTAAATTCAAGTTAAGTCTGTTTCAAACTCTTCTTCATTTCAAATTCATTGCTTCCATGGAACTAAGGTATAAACAAATAAAGTTTTATGTTATGTTATGTTATGTTATGTTAACAAGTGGGACCATTATACGTTTCTGGGAAACTGCCTACCCACCCCTCCCCTGACCCAACATTTTGCCCTAAGGGAAAAGTAAGAGTTAATGTTGGCTTATGGGAGGGTGATTCAAGAAGTGTTAGGTCCCGTCTCATGACGAAAAGTTACCCAGGGAAGAAGGGTCACCCTCCCAGCCGAGTCAAACTCAGCGAGCGTTCATATGGGTAAAACGTTCACCCCTTTGTCCAAGCCACCAGCGTTCGCTAAGCTTTGATTGGTTACAAGAGCGCTCGCGCATGCTCTGATTGTCTCGCCCTGACCAAGTTTACCCGGCGCCTCCTGATTGTAACCTGCGATCAGGCGGTCCTTCTTTTCGTTCTTTCGAAAAAAAAAAAAAAAAAGAGAACGCCTAATCGCAGGTTATCGTGATTATGAATGAATGTTCGTGTAAACCGCTGAGAAATAGAGAAAAAGAGAGGAGAAGTGTGACTTCACAAAATTTCAAATTTGCAAAATTATGAGATTCGTTGGCATCTTCATATTGGTTCTATCCTTTGCTTCGAGAGGTTTTCTACCCCGGTTTTCCCCTCTCCTCGAAAACCAACATTTCAAAATTCCAATTCGACCAGGAATCAGGTAGGCGAAGAACCACTTTGTGGATGTGCTACCTCCAAATCATTATTATTATTATTATTTATTTTTTATAAACGTTTTTAATATGATCCCGGCCCATTTTAGAAGGAACTATATGGTGTCGTCAGAGCAGAACGGTGCTTATATCTCCCCACCAATTTGCACCAACCGGCTCGTTTTTAATAAGTGGACATTTTTCGTCTGGTTCTCTCTAGATGTGCCAACCTATCCCATAATTTTACAAATTTAGTTTTCGTGACGTCATCACTTCTCTCTTCCGTTCCCATTACGTTTCAGGCTGGGTTTGTGTCCGCTCTTCCTTATTTGGTTATGGCAATTACAATTCAAGCATCGGGACAATTAGCCGATTGCGTACGAAGAAAACGAATTTTGACAACAACATCAGTGCGGAAATTGTTCAATTCCTTTGGTAAGTCTCCTGGTTGGTGAAGATTGCCGGGGGGGGAGGGGGCAAATGAGCCCAAGGAAGCCAATAAGGCTTCTGAATAGGACCACCTTTAAAAATACATTACCTGATTAATAAATTTAACTAAGCACATACAATTTCTTTACAACATCAAAATAACCGTTAAATAGGATAAAATAGATAAGGCTGAACTTGCAAGTGCAAAAACGAAAAAGAAAAAGTGGGAAAAATAATTCAAGAATATACGAGAAAAAAGAGTGAAAGAAGCGAAAAAAAAAAATAAACACAGGAATTAAAGAATCAGTTGAGAAAATTTGTTTAAAGATCTTAGCATTTTCCCTTAGGTGATTATTTTATTACTTCTCACAACCCGGCTTTTCTCTTTATTATGTGTTGATATTGTTTTGAGAAAACTTATATTGGTCAGTTATTTTCATTCCTGGGTCTCAGAGAATTAAAGAGTGTTATGGTAGTTTTTGGACATCCAAGGCGACGGCCTATTCTCCATTTCAGAAACTGTAACTGAAGAATGAGTACAAGCTTTCGATGGAACGTTTTCTGGGATCGTTTGGGGGGACAAGCGTTAAATATGATTGGTCGATGGTATTTAGGGCAACCATTAACCAATCATAAGTAACGCTTGCCACCCAAACAATCCCAGAAGGCATTGCCCCGAAAGCTTGTACCCATTCCCCTTATAGGATAAATCCTCTACTAAGTCCTCCTCTAATAAACTCCCTCCCCCCTCCTTTTCAGGGGAAGAAAGTTAATAAGCCCCCCTCCATCTTTCATGCCCCTTCCCCTCCCCCATATAATTCTTCACTAATAAATTTTGGACTGTATAAATTAATCAGGGGCCCGTTTCTCGAAAGTCCCGATAATTAACGGGCCCGGTAAGCTGTCTCCGTTTACATTAAAGATCGAGGTTTCAATAGTTTTGCATTTAACATGAGAAAACTATCAGTTAATGAAACAAAATGAAGTAGTTTGTTAGCCAGGACCCGCCTTGTTTTTCTTTGTGTTTCGATTTGAATGTTTTAATTTCGGGCCCCAAGAGTTAGCTGGGCTTTCGAGAAACTAACCCCAGAACTGTAAACCTTCGTGTGGACTGATCCGGGATGGTTTATTCACCAACTGGAAGTTCGGATTTGGTTTTGATTGTCGACTGCATGACCTCCAACTTCTTGTACTTAGGCTTTTCCACTTTGTATTCTAGTTCTTTAAGGACAACTGATACCATTGTTTTTGCTAAATTGAATAGGTCCCCTGAAATAAATAAGCCCCTGGGAACTTAATTGACCACTTCAGAAAATACCAGAGCATACCGTAAAGCTCTTTGTTTGTCACCCCAAAATTTTGCATAAGAATTGTCTTCAGTTTCATTTGGGGCCATTTTAACTCCCAAGAGAAACTGAAGACAATGCTTATGCAAAATTTTGGGGTGACAAACAGAGAGCACTATGGTATGTTACGGTATTTTCTGGAGTGGTCAACAGAATATTTACGGTAGTGTTTGGAGTGGGGATTGTTTTTCTTTTCGTTTAATGCACTCAGTTGAAAATCCGTCTTATTATTCTGTTCTTTGTAGCTTTCTTTTGCCAAGGTGCATGCATTATTGTTGCCGGCTACACTACTAATTGGCTTGTGGCTGTTGCGTGTCTTACATTCGCTGTGGGTGGAGGTGGTTTTGCCTTTAGCGGATTCTTTGTAAATCATCTGGACATCGCTCCTCCTTTTGCTGGTATTCTGATGGGAATCTCCAATGCTGTGGCTACACTGCCAGGAATCATTAGTCCATTGTTAACTGGAGTTATCGTTCAACATCAGGTGTGTGATCGTTCGTTATTCGCCGCTTTAGAAACGTAGAAAGAAACTAGACCGGGTTAATTTTCGCAAAGACTTCTGGGAGGTTACTGGGACGCGCCGGTCAGCTATTGGCCAATTTTTTCCCCTGTCGCCAGAAACATTCCCAGAAGTCTTTGCAATAGTTAATTGGGTCCAGTTTCCCTCTCGGTTCTAAAGTGGCGTATTGCACATTGGCTCAGTAAACTCTACAATTAATCCATTTCATCAACACTAAAACTGTTACTAGAACTGAAGAGGCTATATCGCGGCTGTCTAGTTTTAGTTAACGTTTCCAATTATGCTCTGTTATTCGCTATACAGCTTTACGTTAGCGAAGAAATGAACAAATGAATGAATGAATGAAAGCACTTATTTGAGAGTCAAGGTATTTAGCACGAAAGTACTAATTGGGGACACTACTTTTACTTCTCCAATTGGAGACGGGACCGCCATTTTACGTGGTGATCTGAGCCACGCGAAGGTCTAGCCGCGTGCGGTACAAAGGGAATACCTTCATTTCTCAGTTATTTTAAGACCCTGAGTATTGGTCCGACCTCGGAAATCGAATCCGCGACCTCCCGCTCTGCAGTCAAGCGCTCTACCGACTGAGCTAATCCTGCGGTCAAATTTTTAAATCATGAATGAATGAACGAACAAACGAACGAATGAATTGGCTTTATTTATTCACGGTGGTAATTTCAATATACAAAATTGTTTTTTAAATTAGCCGTGTGAACAGTTCTATGACCTAATACTAACTATAGCACAATTTTTAAAACTATCGTCACAAATACTAAAAGTAGACGGTATACTAATTATTTATTTAAAAATAATGGCAATAAAACACCTACTGCAATTTATTATCCCAAGTATGCTTTGATCTCTCCAGTATGTTTTGAACCTATTTAATGTCTCTAAGTCTTTGACATGATTAGGAAGTTCGTTCCATGCAATTGCCCCACGATAAGCAAAAGTTCTCTTTATGAGTTTGTCTTAGGTTTGGGCAACTGCATGTCGAACGTACTACCTCTGAGGTTGTAGTTATGTTCCTCGGAAGTCAATCGAAAAAGCTCAGTTAAGTACTCAGGTACAGCCGCATGATAAACCTTATACTTAATAATTATTCCTCGACTCGAGCCCGAATGGGCTCTGGGCTGTTGACTCAGAGGCTATGAGGGCGAGAGAAATAATTGTTTTATCAAAATCCAACTAGTTGGTCAAAAATATCGAGACGAAACCACTTTAGCTAGCAAAACGCGATTCACCCGCCATTGTTTTGGCTTTCAAAGCCGGCGCTTTTCGCTACTAGCAGGTTATAACATATAGCCTAGTAGTGGCTCAACCAATCAGAACGCAGCATCGATAATAGACCACGAGTAGTTGGATTTTACTAAACTATGATATTCATTTGTATTTTCCACTTATCACCCAGCGTTGGCCGACATAGCTCTTTTAGAATATCACACAATCTTAACAGTTGATGGCCAAATCACAGCTTTGTCTCCAAAGCATGGGAGGCATTTTCCTAGAATGTTACAGTAATCTCTCATATCAAACATTTAAAACAGTATTTCACAATAACAAACACCTCAGAGGTCCATAATTTTAAAAACCGATGTCTGTGGCAACCGCTACGCCTCTAACAGCTGGTGCCTCTAACAAAGCTTCCATGTTTTAATACCTTCTTATGTTGATACAATCTTGGACAAAACTGTTGAGTTGTCTATTTGGGGAGCATTTTTCTAAACATCTTAGCTGTACCTGTTCTTCCCTCTCCCCCTTCCCCAGAAAGCAATGTTGTTGTGTATTCAAAAGAAAGCCTGATCCCTAGGCGTTTGTAGGAAGCAACACTGAACTGGAGGAAGGGATTTCTTTCCGCAAAGCTGTCGTTTTGGAATATAGTTTTGTAGCGTAGGGAAGTGGACTTGATGGGGAAAACTTTCTCAAGTAGTTTTGTCCGGAATTGTAGGCTAGTTTTTCAAAGTAAACTTAAGTTTCTTTTTTCACAGTATGCTTCAGAATGGAGGATAGTGTTTTACATCGCTGGAATGATTTACATTTTTGGAGCAATAGTCTACTGCTTCCTTTCAAGTGGTGAGAAACAGTCGTGGGCTGAAGTAGAATACTCTTCACTGCTAGATGAAACAGATGAAGATGGTCAAGAGGAGGTGATTATGGAAAGATAGTTACTGTGTGTTATTAGGGACCTTAAGCAACTACGACGACAACGACAACGCAAAAATAAAACCAATTGGTTTTATGAGCAGAGCAACAGCTCTGCACGCCTTTTAGTAGATTTCTTTGACGTCCACAGCACGACTGCGACGTGAAACCTCCCAGTGCGACGTTTTATGGAGAACATGGACATACGACGACAAATTTTCCTTTCTCTATTTGAACATGGATAAAGCCCTTAAGAATTCAACTCCAGGAAAAGTCGCCTACATTTGACGAATTGAGCGGTTCCAAATAGACGCGATAAAGTTTGAAAAGACGCAAATTCATTTTTTAGTGATATTTTCACTGCTGTCGTCTCGTAGTTGCTTAAGGTCCCTGTTATAAACCCGGAGGGGTACTCAAAAAAGTTTTATTCGGGGAGGCTCCGCCCTGAGGTCCAACCCCTTAGCCTTTCAAATACCATTTTAAACAATTATTGGATGAGGTTTTTGTGATATCCGGAATAATCAAGGTCGAGGTGAGAGTTATCAGCCGAGCCGAAGGCCGAGGCTGATAACACTTACCGACTTACCGAAACCTTGATTATTTAGGGTATCATAAAACCGAATATAATAATTGTCTTATTACGCATTGTTTTGAAGAAAATAACGACAAACACACCTTCGCAGTGAACCTGAAGTGATATTGTTATTGGAAATCATGCATTGCGCGCGCATGCTAGCAGATAACTGACTAACCTGAAGTTTGCGCCGATTTCCAAAATTAGCTGTAGGCTCTCAGCCAATGCGAAGACAGGTAGTGAGTACAATATATAATAATTCATTAACTGACAGAAGAGGTACCTCTTTCGTATACCTTCTATTAACAAATGGAGAGTAGAACTCTGCGTTCCTTTTAACTGCTTTAAATGCACTGTTTTAAAAGTATGAATAATCCACAAAAACAGAACGTTTTCTCGACTTTTTTCGCAGCCATGAAATGCATCTGTTAGCCATTTTGGGCCTTTTTACGGACCGAAATGACAGATCTCCTTACCCTTTCATATACTTCCACTAGTGAAATCACTTCCTGGAGCCTCCCCGTATAGGCTACTACAGGGTGTGCCCCCCGGGCATTAAAAGCGGTTTTCAATCGAGCTAATCTCTACCGAAAAGGAGGTTTGAATGTCGTGTACTATCTGGACAAAATACTATGCGAACCCCATTTTGACGTCATCTGTGATCTGTTACTGAACATACTCACGGCAACATGGAGTCTATTCGTTTTATCGGAAACTCATAGTTTCTGGTTTTATGCAATGCACAGAAAAGTATAAACGACGTACTTACTTCGTACCGCATTTTCAAGTCATCAAGAACTCCTTTTTGAGCCGGTTTCTACGTTACTCAGGAAATGTAATGGGCCAATCATAGCTCGAGCATTAGCGCGGGAAAATGCGAGCGAACAAGTCACGGCTGGTTGTCTCCTCATTGGGTCAGAAAAATGCGCCAAAATTTTTAGCCAATCACGGAGCAAAGTGTTAGAAACCAAAGCAGTCTCAAAATTACTGACGATGCTCGACTAAAAACCGCCATAGTCATAAAATGAGTTTTGGAAGTTCCTTGAAGGAACCCAACATGGACTTGTATTTGGTTACATCAAATAATTCATCAAAATTCAGTATTTTTATTTTTCTGTAACTTATTTTATCTTCATGCTCACTGAACAGAACAGTGGCTTTGACATGTTTTAAGTAAATATTTTGAATTAACGCACACAAGATCGTTCATTGTAAGCTAAATTATGGAAGAAAGTTACTTTTTATTTAATTTTTACTTATAGGCTAAAGGTATCATTGTAAGTATTTAAAGACTTAATTATGTGATCTGCGAAACAGTAATGAAATAAAAGATCTAGCCATTGAAAAAATTGTTTCCAAACTAAGTACCCTTATAAGGGGTTTAAACTTGTCACCACCGAGTTACTACACAAAAATTATATCTATTATAATAAATCTTTGTTGTTAGTAAAAACGATTTGAAACTAAAACTTTAAATTATACATTGCTAACTATTAATTTCTCGTGCCAGTGTATTCAATGAAATATTAACTAAGCTAGCGTTTTCGAAGAAGAATCTATTTATTGTTACAATGGAATAAAATATAAAATACCCCGTCTATTTTCATGTTTGGAAAAAAAGCAACTTAAATGAGGCTCTTTGTGTTAAGAGTCATTTTGTAATTTTATTTTACTTTACGCCAAGACTAAAAAATACGTGGTACATGACAAAATCGAACCAAAATAAAACTTTCACTGGTAAAAAGTAAGAAGAAAGTATTATCGAAACAGGTAGACCGCGAATTCAAAGATACGCGTGACAGGTTGCGTGACAGTTGATTTTGGCGGCAGACGTTAACGACTCGGGTCATGTGGCTTTGTTTGTCAATCCAAAAAGGTGAACTCACGTGGTCACATTGTTTTCTCATTGTTAGCTTCGTTGTTCGCGCATTAGAGTGATCAGAGTTTATGCATGTATATAGCGCTAGAGGGCTGCAACCGAAAGAACTTTCATCCATTGACTTCATCGCGAACGAAAATTTCTCCATTTTGATTGACAGAGAACACCATTATTCGACTTGGCCTATCTTTGGCCTACCAAACGATCAGGAGCACCCCTTTTTTGGTTTGACAAACAAAGCCACGTGACCCGTGTTGTTAACGTCTGGCGCCAAAATCAGCTGTAACGCGTATCTCTGAATTCGCGGTCTACCTGTTGCGATAGTGATATAGATAGCGGGGGCGGTCTGTCACTTTTTATTGTCGTTCTTCACCAAATAACGTCAAATGATCCAATACAACGATTTAAGAAAAGTTATCCTGCGAACGCCGGCATACATGTACTTCCGTCAGTGCTCTCTTCTTTAGGGTGGAGAGAAGCGACGACCGGAAATGCGTCTGAGTTCGCAAGCGAAGAAGAAGGCTGAGGATTCGTCTTTTAGTTCTCATTTTCCATAATTTTTGGCTTAAAGTCCATTTCTGTGGATTCTGCAATAAGGCTTAAACGTATTCAATCTAGGCTCTCCTCAGGTGATTAGTGACGTGGTAGAAAACCGTCGTGTCTTGGTTGTTTACCATTTACATGGGCAAACAGGTCGGTGCACGGTTTGGGCAAATCATGGTAAGCAAAATTTTCGGACTGTTAAATTTCGTCCCATAATCGCACTTACCATTTGTACAAATCGGTATCTACCGACAAACGGCCGTGAAGGGCTTAAAACTGGAATCAAATACAGAACACGAAGTTCCTTTGCTCCAGGAAATTTTCCGCCGGAACGACGCAAAACGTCGTGTTCCGTTTACTTTTTAACCGGATTTTCCCGGAAACTTTTTGTAAATGGTAAACCACCCTTGTCTCGTCCCAGTGCTTTCCTTCGCGTCTCAGCATGACGGTTTTTTACTACGTGACTAACCGTCTGCAGAAGGCCAAATGGTAGGCGAAATAAATCTTTATAAACAATAACATAAATTATCCTC